GTTTTAACATGTTCCATTTTTGTAGCAGAAGTTTGGATAAGAATGGGTTCCACTATAATATAATGTCTAGATGATTATTTTTTTTAATAAAGAGATCATTACATACCGGTATTATCTGGCAAACGTATCTTACTTTCATTGCAATGTCATTTACACCAATTTAACAGAAGGTAATTTTCAGTATACTTTGGATGATGTTCAGCGAACTGAAATTCACATATCCTCTTGTCACTTTGGACACCCTGTAGCCAATCATAATAATCTGTTATGGCGTTGTGTTTGATGCACAGTAGCAGGTGCTGTTTGTTGAATTTTTGTCAATTAAACACAAGGTTGACATCAACAATTCTGTGTCAGATTTTCTTCCTCTGTACCTCTTAGGCCAGATATTGCAGCTTGGCAGGCCAGATCATCACATGGTCTACTACTCTATACTAACCTCTCACCCCCAGATGGAATTGAATTATCAAGCATATTCAGAACTTAATATACTTCTGATTTGAAAACAGTGTACCTTCACAATTGGCTGGGAATGCTGGGAGCTGTCATTCAACACATCTAGAGGATAGCAAGTTAGGAAAGACTCTCACCTCTCACCTCACGGTGAGAAGGGCGGCAAACAAATGTAATAAATAAAATAAAAATAATGTCTGTCCTAGACACAGGGGTTGGTCTATTGGCTACATCTGTGTAGGACGTTGCATTGGTTTTCTACCCTTTGCTTTTTTAAATCTATACAAAGATATTGCACTGGTTGGGGGTGCAATATTAGCAATATCTTATGATATCCAGCCTCATGCTGCTACCCATAATGGAAATGCCATTATCTTGTCCCGGTTTCTAGAGGTTGGTAGAGACCGGGTGGGACTGAGCAGACAAACAAGAAAGAACTGCTGCTGTTTGTGTTTGAGGTTCTCTCTGGACTTCAGTATTGTCATTGGAAAGAGAACTACATTTCCTGAGGGAGCAAGTCCTCCTGGACTCAAGACTATGCTAACAGGGCAGGTGGCAGCTATGGCCACAGGGGCCTTCATTCAGCTTTCACTAGTTTAATAGTTGTGCACTAGCTCATATGCCTTTACCCCTTATATATAGTTTAACTCACTAACTCATGCCTTCATCCTGACCTGGTTAAACTACTGCAACATGTTTAACATCCCTGTGGCAGCCTTTGAAAACCATCTGGAAATGCAATTGGGCCAGAATGCAGCAGCTTATCTATTATGGATTTGACATACAACATCAAGAGCATGTTCCCCGAATGCTACAGCCTTGCTCGGCTCCTTCTAGGCTTCTAAGAACAATTCAACATGCTGGTTTTACCACCTAGATACATATCCTGAGAACCACACTTTCCACCTGGGATTGTCCTGCTCTTGGCAGAAGCTGCCGGCAATACCTCAATGGAAGAGGATTGTACAGGGGTGCTGCTATTCAATAGTGGTATTATTACTGCTGTGAAAAAGTTTTCTCATGGAATTGGCGTCCCTTTGATTTCTTTTCAGATTGTCCAGTCTAGTGAGGGGAAACCTTTTGGACTTGCCATGTAAAGCATATACACCCATATACATACCTGAATGAAACACAAACAATTCTCTATCTCTCCCCTCCCCACATCTATTTGGTGGCAGTGGTGAACTTGCTAATTTCAAACAGAGCCATTTCAGACAAGTGGCTGTCCAGTCTTTTCTTAAAACCTCCAGTGATAAAGCACCTACAACTTCTGAAAGCAAGCTGTTCCCACCGGTTAGTTGCTGTCACTGTTAGGAAGTTTCTCCTTAATTTCAGGTTGCTTCTCTCCTTGATTAGTTTCCATCCATTGTTTCTTGTCCTGCCCTCTGGTGCTTTGGAAAATAAGTTGACCCCCTCTTCTTTGTGTTGTATAAATTCTACAACCGTAGTTTGTTCAGGAGCTTTGTCTTCTTACCATTTGATCATGTTGGGTTGACAGAGTGACAGGCCCAAAGTCACCCAATGTGCTTCTGTGGAACTAGAACCTGGATCTCCTCAGTCTTAGACCCTTCACCACTATCCCACGCTGGTTCTCGGGGTGCTGTATGCCTTAGTAGTGATTTCTTCTGGACTATTTTATGCAGGACTGGTTTTGCAGCTGCGTCCAAGAAGCCTATTCTGGTTACTTGGAACAACGTAATCAAAGCCAAATAGTTTCAAAATGTATTCCCTGTGGGCATATATCCACACTCGACTTGAAGTAATATATTAGGAAGGTTCCTTGTTTGCTCTTCCATGGCGTTCTTTCTTCTTTGATCATGTTTCTTCTTCAAAGTTCTGGAAAACTTTTGTCTCTATATGAGTAACCTTCCATATTACTGGAAATGGAAGTTGTTGTTCCTATGTCAAAGTTTGTAATATCTCTTATCAATAACCTTAATATTTAGTCTAACCATTCTCCTAGAATGATTCATACCTTATTACTGCATAAATAGTTCCATTACAGGTTTCTATGTTTATCTGTCTAGTCCAAATGTTCTATAGTAGAAGTCAATATTTAAAAGCCATTTCAACTTACTTGATTTATGACCATACCCTTTGGGTTTTGTAAACTCTCCTGGTTTATGTAATTAGTGCAAAAGTTCCACAGAATTCTGGCTTATACTGTAGTCAGACCTTCCAGATAAATGGAGGAGTATACTTGTTCTCTATTATTAAGTAATGTTTGCAAAGAAGGTGAAAACTGAAGAAAAACCCACCTGATGCCTACAAAAATGGATCTATTATTATGTTGTATCCAGTCTTATTGGAACACATAGGGTAATATGCTCACATGTAAATAGAATGGGTAATATGTCGACCTGGTCCAGCTTTGCAGTCCGGATAACCAATTAGTTCCAATTTTATCATTGTAATGTCTATCTAGCCTAATGGCTGCTCAGAGCCATTTCAAAAGAAACAATTTTATTTCAAGCATCCTAATATAATATCCAGCTCACTCAAAATGACATTTCCTCTTTTCCTGCTGGTTCATTAAAACAATTTTTTATATGACATATTGCTTAATTTGTTTTTTTCACTCACACCATATTACCTCAGTGTTATTTTTTTTCATAGTCTAAAGACTATTCTACAGAATATTAGGGCTTAAGAGCTTCTGTTTTTTTTTTATAAAAGCAGAAGATGTTACCCAATATGGAAAAAAAGCAAATTATTTTAAAAAGAGCCAAGAACTAAAACATTTTGGTAAGCTTAAAAGGGACAATGCCTACATTAAATTGAACATGAAATAATCCCCTACATACAATTTATACCTAGACTCTAAAGACTGCACATCTTACATTTTGTTTGGATCTTTGGCTACATCTGAGATGAAATAGCAGCAAAGATATGGCAGTTAGAAGGCAAGCAATATCCCTCAAAAAGCTAGGACAATTGTATGGTGTGGAAATATGAAATCATGCAACAAAGTAATGAGCAAACAGTGGTCTTTCAACAATTGTTGAAACATTAGACCAGCAATCCTTAACCACATAGTCAGTGGTAGAAAAAGGCTGGAAGTTCCAGCTATTTTTGAAGGGCCACGGATTTCTCATCTCAGATGTAGAACCTTAAATACAGACTGTATCTGTGATCATTCCAGACCAGCAAGTAAGTAGCGTGATAGTGGGCAAATCAGTCAGTGAACT